ATAGAAATACCAAGTCACTGCAACATCAGGAAAAAAGAACATGAAAAACAAGAGAAATACCAGGGGCTGAGAGAAGAGCTGGAGAAAACCTGGAAGGTCAAGGCATCAGTGGAACCCGTGGTCATTGGGGCCCTCGTTACAGTAGATCCCTGGAAATACATCAGACATCTGGGTCCAGAAGAGTGCAGTTCTAGGAACAGCAAAGATACTGCTCAGAACTCTCACTTTCCTAATAACCTGGACTGGAGTCACAACATTAATGCTCTATAAAGCAAGGGTCTGGGCAGACCCATCCTACAGAGGAAGCTGAGATCTTAAACGTGGTGAGCTCCTTAAGACCTATTTTGGCTCTGTTGTGGCTCCAGCCATCTTCTGTGGTGTAGTTTGTTAAAGCAGCCACTTATCTTCCCTGAGAGGAGGAGGTTGGATAAGCTCATCAGGAAGGTCAGATTTCTACTAGGATCTAAACTGGACTCATTACAGATAGCAGAAGTACTCAACATCAGTGTTGGACAATGTCTCCCACCCCATTCATGGAGGTCTGCTGCACAGATATGTGTACTATGGAGTGTTATTCTGCAAGACCATATAATCATTGCTTCTTCTAAGTTGTTTATTGCACTTTTTTCCTTTTTTCTTGTAAACAGTCTATTGCCGTTTTCATTGTAATAAGTTACATATTTCCTTTAATTGGTGTACAGCATGTTTTTTGTCGTAAAATTTTCCGTTACTTGCTAATAAAACACCAAAATTTCCCCACTGTGGGAAAATAAAGGATTGTTCTATTTCTTGTATTTTTCTGTTTACATTTGGAATAGATGTCTGTTACTAGAATTTAAACTAATATTGCAATTAAACATGCACTTGTAGAAGAAACCTAAGAATTTCTGACATTTGCAGCCTCTATACACATTATTTTTTCTTCATTTAAATGGTAAGTAGAAATAGAATTGAAAAAAATAATACAGTTCAAGAATTTTAGCCTTTTTGTTCGTATAAGACATTTTATTTTGATTCAGCGGTTTATCTACGTTTTCATATAATATAAAAATTAACAGAATCGCATTGTGAAAAGAACATCAGGTTGACGCTTAAATTGTAACTTGTAATACCAGGTTTAAGAGTGTAAAATGACATTGACCTGTTGTTATTTTTATTACCGGTATATGTTTTCTTTATTGAAAAAAAAGAACATACATGAACAATATAGAACATTAATAATTACAAACATATACAACAAAAAAGGGCTTTACAGAACAGAACTATTATTTTAAAATGTCAAAATCAAATCTATGCTAGAGGGTTTTGATTCTTTAAGGGCAGTTATAATTTGCATGGCTTTAGCATTTGAACTAAATTTTAAGGATTCTATATGCAGTTCACTTTTCTCCATCCCAAACAAAACATCATTATCTGTTAAAGTAATGTTAAGATTTTTTTGATAAAAAAAAATTGACATATCTCTCCAGAATATGTTGGTATAAATACCATCCCCCCAAAAAAATATGGATAAGCTTTTCTTCATTATTTTTACAAAAAGTACACATTGGGTCCAAATCCCATTTATATCTTTTTTTTTTTTTTTATCAAAAATGCTTTAACAGGATAAACATTATCAATAATTTTATAAGATATTTCTCTTACTTTATTTTTTATTAAGTATTTTTTAAGGCGCTTGACCTGTTGTCATGCATGTGTTCCTAACTATCTAGCGTGACGAGCTGCCGTTCTGGATTCTGATTGGCTCCGATGCTTAAATGGGCGGGGTTAAAATAAACCAGGAAGTGTTGTCCGTACTGTCGCAATGTATGTAAATATGAAAGAATGTGGTATTTAAAACCACAATTGAGTCATACTAGGCCCAAATAGTTTAAAGACCATGTTCGCCTATATGTTATTCCCCTGACAGAAAACCAAGTTGTAGAATTAAATGCAGAACTTGTATTAATCTACTGGGATCTAAGAGTTACTGTATGATAATTGATCACGTCATTCTATATGAATTTATTGCCTCGTTCAGTTAGGATTTGATGTTTTGTAGCGTTGTTATGAGGTCATGAAGCCTGTCAGGCCAGGTATTTGTGCAACGTGTGCGTGTTGAAAGGTTGACACCCCACATTGATAGCTTTAGTTGAGGCTCGAGCGAGGAAGTAAGTGATAAAAGTAGTCTTTTTAATTATTGGATAATACGTGCCTCGGAAAAAACTTGCTTGTATTTTGTTTTTCTAAGTATGCTGAGCTCAATGTTAGGCTCCCATGTCTGTTGTGCTATTGTGTGGAATGGATAAAGCTGTGCGGGGGGAGGAGGAGGAGGAGAGGACGACTAGATAAGAGGGAGAAGTGCTTTATTGGCTGCCTGCTGCCGCTTAAACCCTATTTTTTTCAACCCTAAAACAAAATGACTTGTCGTTTGTGTTTTAGGCCGTAAAGCAACAACATCCCAACCGCAACAGCGACGGTAGAGGACATGATAACCGTGGAGCGGGCCTTTATTTCCATTCCGCAGCGCCTACGCCGAGCTCATTGAGTCGGTATCCAGCGTCCCGACATGGGGAAGGAGGTAAACGGCGTTTCGCGGAGCCGCTTTGAGGTGAGTTAATATGTTGACTGACAGTCTGCGACTCGGACACAGCCGAGCCGTTAGAAGCGTTAAGCACGCGCCCCCGAACAATGGCTGGAGCTGTAATTATTAAAAAAGAAACGACGCTGCAGCTTCCGCAGTCGGTGTGTTTTTAGGATTAGGTCAAAACACTGTTGTTGTTTTTTTTTTTTTTTGTTTGGATAACATCCATCCGAGGCCTAGCGTGTCATCTAACTAAGGACTAATGACAGCGTTTGCAATATAACCCTTCGGTATCTCTTTCTCGGCTAAAGGCTAAACTTGATGCGTAAAATGTTCACTTCTTTTTACATTTTAGCCGTTAAAACAAAGGCAACGAGGCCACGGAGCGCAGCACAACTTTCACAGTCGGACTGGTGGATGTCTTTTGTTTTTTCTTCACCAACCTATTCATTTTTAACTTGTTATAAAAGTGGTAGATTGCTTTATAGGTTCGGCTTTTGTTCGGTCCAACCACATATTTGTGTACGAATGTGGTCGCGGCCCTCTGCCCATTACTGCTGCCCTTAAATACAAAGCAACGGCTCCAAATTACCGTAATATAACCTGTGGAGATGAACAGGACGACCAACTGGTTAAATGCACAGATAATCGGAGGTAGACCCCAAAACTTAAGTGTTATGTTATGTGAATATTTGGGTGAGCATGTATCTCGTGGGTGACATTGACTACGGCAGCGTTGGCAGTGGATGTTTAATCCCCAGCTAGCTTGGGATTTGTGTGCGGTTTTATTTATTTTTAACGATGCAACAGCTGACTACTCAGAAGACTCAGGCCCTTTTACCTTCTGTCCCGACAGCTGCGGCCAATCTAATAAAGCTACCTGGAATTAGGACAGGAAAGAACCGGAAATGGCTGGACCGGCCCTTCAATATAAAAGTATTTTATGACACAAAGTTGGAAGGTGATTAGATATATACAGTATCACCTATTAGTTGAGGTTCATAATAAGAAACGATTTGTTCAATTTGTCTGGATTCCTGCTCATGTAGGGATTGAAGGAAATGAAGAAGTAGATATATTAGCTAAACCAGGGTTTACGCAGGTCATTAAAAATAATTGAAAGTAATTAAATTATTATAATTAATTATTAATTCATTAAATTTGATAAGCGTGGCATTAAAATGGCTTCAGAAAAAAAAAAAAAGCTAGAGAATGGGGGGGAAAAAAATGCTAATTTGAACCAAAATGGCGGGAAACGAGGAATTAGGGACATGGCTGCAGCCTGTCCACGCTGAAAATGACAAAGGATTTTGCCGTATATATATAAAGTCATGGTACTTGTTGATGGCATTAAGATTATTTCTAAGAGCATTAAAAAGCATTAAATAACAGTCCTTAAAATCAGATATTATTAACATAAGTATTCCTTTAAGCAAAAGTGAGAGTAAATCTATAATTCAGGATAAAATCTGTACGGTTTGGCAGGAACAATAGGATAATCGCGACACTGGTAGAGATCTATATAAAATTCAAAAGACTGTGGGCGGTAATAATTGTACAAATGGAAGGCAGAAAGAAGGGGTAGTCATATCTCAACTTAGAGTTGGTCATACTCGACTTAATGGTTCTCTTTTCAGAACAGGGAAACATGACACAGGGACTTGTAATCACCGTTATCAGATGGAAACAGTGGAACGTGTAATATTAGAATTAGTATTCACAGGAACGTCAGCATTTAAAGTCAACACTAAATAGAGAAGTACATCTAATTCTGCTAAAAATCAGTTAATTAGATAAAAAAACACTGGATTATTATATGTATTTAAAGTAAGAATATAAGTGTGTGTATGCATGTGCATATACACACATACTAATTTATATGTGAATTTGTATAGATATTGATCAATAGATAATATGCAGATTCTTGGATACCATTAAGGTTTGAATTAATAACTTCTCTCTGACATCATTGATAACCACACTCCAGTCTGGTAGGTGGCAGTAAATGCACATTAAGTTGGTTGCCATCCGCCAATTAAAAAAAATAATAATAGGAAGAAGTTTGATGGAGATAAGTCTAATGTAAGTCTTACTAAGCAGCCTTAGTAAGTCGTAGGGAAGTCATATTTAAATTTTAAATAATTCTGGCTAAAACATGTATATAAATGTATGTTATTAGACCATATAGTTTCAAAAGTTAGAAAATTTCTGTCTGAAAATCTGTGGGGGTTTTTTCTGTTTGTTTTTTTTAAGTTATTTTATGCAGGCCAGTTAGTTATACGTCAGCTTGTATACCTAAATTCCGCCAATCGTATATATCAATGGTCATCTGTCAATAAAATTTTTTTTGGTCATAACAGCTGGATTCATATTTCGCAGCTAATATACGCAATGGTTGAAATAAGAACCGTTTACTTTACCATTAAGTTCCTTCCCAGTGTTCACGGGGATGGACGTCTGTGTCTTCGGCAGATATAGAGCTAAGAGAACTAGCAGCGTTGCGAGGCGAGGGCTGAAACATGTACGGCTGTAAGCCTTCTACACCAAACCAAGCTTCTGGCGCCCTGACGTTCTCTTCCACAACATCTTCGTCCCCGCTTTCCTCCTCTAAATAAAAAATGAATGACGGAGGAGACTCATCCACGACCGTCGACACTAAACTCTCCTCCTCTTGCATGTTTCCGCTGTCAATAGCGTTCCTTAAAGGTGTCGTTTCTAAGTCACCAATTTAGTGCTACTTGGTCCTAATGTAATTTCCCATTGGGAACCAACTAGCACTAAGTTGCTAACTGGTTAGCAAGATGCTTCCGTGACACCAGCCAGAACCAAATTTGCTTGCGAACCTTCCACCACAACAATCCCGCCCCCTTGATAATCGACCAATTACATTCACTTTATTCACTGTATAGTCGTGGACCACTCGGGAGAATTCTGGAATCGTTGGAACTTTAATCCTCTTTAGCTATTTATTCTAATCATTTTTATTCATCACAAATTACATTGTTGATGCAAGATGAATCAATCCAGGCTACCAAAATGTACATACACACCTATCAATTGTCTTTATACCCTATATTTTTGCATGGTCTTTGTTTATGATTTGGTAAGAGGTGGGGGGAAACAGGACATGTTGCCAGCCTTGTATTGCGTAGTGCAATCAATGCACCATGCATGTCTTCAGCCTCTGGTAGGAGACAAGAATGACCAAGGGAAACCAACCAGTAGTACAAATCACTATAGTGAAACTCCTAGGTCAATTTGGTCCCCAACTCTTTCCTTGAAGGCAAACTTCTCCTTATCTTTGTGTATTTAAACCCTAGTGAACTGGATTTTATAATGGTTTTGTTTTTTTACAACTTATTATGATGAAGAGTAATAGGTTCATTGTTATTTAGGACAAATATTTCATGAAGACTCTCCATTTGTTTTTTTGTTTTTTTTCACTGTTTTGATTGTGACCCAAGTAAAATTTGACATTTCATGATTGTCACCCAGAGCTTACTGGATAGGCATTTGCCCCCTTTGATTGTGACAAACAGCATCAACATGCCAGCTGCTGAATGCATACAGTAAGCCACTCAGTTGTTATAAAGCTAATGCTGTCCAAACAGAACATATGTTCTACTAGGGCTGCAAAGAACTGTCATTTTGAAAAAGGATTAATCTGTTACTTATTTTTTCGATTAATAATCAGATAGCAAAAGGTTCCTAAAAGAATGATTTGTATGAAACTAAAACTTTTCGACTTGAGGAGTTCTGGATAGAGCATACTGATAGAAGAAAACTTTTTTTAAAATCTTAAATGCAAAAAGGTTTATATATTTTTTACAAACTTGATTTAATTACTGTTCAGGGTGGGTTGCTCTGTCAGCTAAACGCATATTTTACAGTCTCTATAATGTTAATGATTAATCGATTGCTAAATTAGTTGTTGATTATTTCAGTAATCGATTAATCACCATTAATCAGATTAATCCTATAAATTCTTTCAGCCCTACATTATACATTTAAGATTAAAAAGTGTCTTTGTCTTTAAATGGGCATAGTCATCCAGAACTATTTGAAGGGAATTTTTATCCATTGAACTGAGCTTTCCCATTTGTTATTTAGCCATTTACAATGCATTTAAATATTCAATAGATGGGTTTTTGTGAAGTTCAAACATTCGATGGTTGTGAATTTACTAAAAGGATTTAATTTTACATTAATAGATAAATGGATCAACAGATAAATCAACCTGCAGCCCTACTGAACAATATAAAGGGATAGACATCTTTTATTGAAGTTGTCTAGTCACATTTTGTACAAGTAACTGAATGGTTTATAGGAAGTTACTTTGAAACAAGTATCAAAATAAGTGCAAAATGTCCTTCAAACAATGTCAGCCAGGCATGTTTGACACTAAACATTTCATGTCATGGATAAACTACTTGCCAAAAAAATCTAGGCGTAGAGAAATATAAAGATGTCAGATTACCTCTACTGTCTGAATCGGTAGAAACGTACCAGGAGTAACTGTTTACCAATTCCTTTACTTATGACTTTGATAATCAGCTTCATTGCATACACTATCGTTGGTGTCTTATTCTGACACAATATCACTTTGCATGTCATGGTATGAGTTCCTCATTTCACACAGTTTGGACAGTTATAAAGATTTGTTACAGTTGTGGTTACAGAAGCGATGCATCTAAACACATACAATTTGGTTAAAATGCCAAAATGGTTTGAATTTCATTATATAAATTATGCACAAGCGGAATTCATTGTTTGAGAAACATTTCTACTTTATTACCAAGTAAAATTTGGCCTCATATTAGATGTATGTCAGTCAGTCAACATTTATTTGATGTTTGAGCTCAGGTATCTCGTTTATAAATCCTGGAAATGGAAGAATTTACTTTTGTTTAGTTATTTTTTCTGATTTGCCACATAGTTCCTGTAATTGAATAACAGTGCTGGCCTAGTGGTTAGGGAATTGCCTTTTAATCCGGAGGTTCTGAGTTAGAGCCCAACTCCCACAGACTGTCACTCCCTAAACAAAGACTCCACGCTGCTTCCCGGGCGCCACACAATGGCAGCCCACTGCCCCCAAAAGAGATGGGTTAAATTTAGCGAGTTAATTTCATTGCTCTGTACTTGTTGTTTTTCCCAGTTTTTATTGTCATTAAACTTTTACAACTCACTTTTAACCTACTCTCAAATTTTGAAATCATCCAGTGAATGCTTTAGGATTTTATGATTATTAAGGTTTCAACTATTGCAATACTTTGTTAAAATATCTTCTGAAAAGTACAGGGTAAATTTTTTTTTTTTCCCGCTCTGTTTGTCATGAGATATAGGCTTCAGTACAAAATACAAAACATTTTATCAGGCTTTTATTTTGAAATGCAGTAAGCGGAAGTGGTCCTTTTTTCACACAATCAACATAGCCTTTGTGTGCTTCCTCATAACCACAACAACTTAAGCTGTATTTCCAGTCTTGGCCTTCGAAACAGAGTCATCACTTTTCTGTAGAAGGAAAATAAAAGTAATTAAACTTAAAATTAAATGAAACTTACATTTATAAAGTAATGACAGGTGATGTCTTTTATTAAAAATGCCTGTTAATCTGGTGGGTCCAAAATGATAATGAAGTTTTTAAAATTAGAACAAACGATTGTACTATTTGAACATAAAATGTTTTTTGTTTTTTTTTTTATCGTTGACTTATTTTTGTTTTTGTAATTTGTAAATATTTTTTCCTGAATTTTGGACATGAGTTGTATTCAATTTAAAGTGAAAAGCTATATCTACATATTTCACGATAGACTGTGGCGTAACTTTAGAAAAGCTAAATTATTTGAGCAGTGGTCTTTGTTTTTATAGAGAATATCAGGGGAAAAACCACTGAAATTTGGTTCTTCTGCTTATCCTTTTCAATTAAAGGCAGTAATTCCAACATAGGCCCTCCATCACCGCTTTATCCTTTATCAATATTGTTAAAGTTTTTTCTGTATTGCTCTTATTTTTTTCTTTTTGTTTTAATAGTTTTTTTACAGCAATATTACCACTTTTTCTAATTCAGTTCATATGTTGTTGTTTTATTTCGCCCAAATAAGATGAAACAGAGATTACACCGATAACTGGAGCTGTATGGAGCTTGGGTCAAAGCAGCACAACATTTTTTTTACCCATCTGTTGGTGGACACTACCGATCACCTGACTGAAATAATAATAATATAAAAAAAAAAAAAATCACAGTCAGTGATGTTGCTGAAACTTAGGATTCCAGAAGAGATGGAATTTTTAAAGTACAACTTTGAGTGGCAAATGTGTTACCTACTGACATATAATGGGCAGGCTTTTATTTCATCAAGTGATGTTTTATGAAGAAAAGAGCGATCAAAATGGATATTATTCTGTCTATAAAGCAGTTAAAATTAATCCTGAATTTATAAGGTATGATTGCTTAATTATATTAGTCATTATAACAATGGACTACTTTCAAAAAATAAACCAATTTGTTATTTCTTAGCAGAAAATGATAATATTTGTCCTTTTAAATAAAAGCAACAATATGAATTAAAAACAATTCCTAAATGTTGCATTTTCTACTGTAGATTATACAGTGGAAAATTCAGTTGCAACTGAATACGACACTGACTATTGAATGGATTCTGTCCTCTCTCTAGTGAGCCGTCTGATTGTTTTTTGAGTTTTTGCAACGCTGTTGGCTCGTTTTTTCGACTGATTGTTAATTGATCTGTGTTAAGTAAACATCCTTTCCTATAACTTCATTTAAAAAAGCCCTACGAAATATTTCTGAAAGTTTTTACTTATTTTAAGCTAAATGTATTGAGAAGGAATCAAATCAAGACTTCTGGACAGTATTGCACTATGTTTTTGTGATTTAAAAGGCGTTTTTTTTTTGTTTTTTTTTTACCACTGAGTCGATTTCTGGTTTTTCATAGATTCTTAGAAATAAACAATTTTAGAAGATTAAAAGTTAACAACATATTTATTTGATATTTTCCCAAATTGAGTACAGGAATAGCACAAATAAATGGTTCCATAACATTTCTCTCTGCTTCAATTTGATCAAAGTCTTACAAGTCAAAGACTCGATTCAATCGAGAGCATTTTAATCAATCTGACTGTATTGTCTCTGTAAAGTGCCTTGACATGTGCTGTAAGATATAAATAAATCGGTGCTTTATAAATAAACTGAATTGAATTGGTCTTTAACTAGAGGTTGCAGCTTTTCAAGCTTTTTTCCAGGCTTGCTTTTCTGATTATAGTTGACCAGTGGAGGCATCATAATGCTTTCTTTCATTGAATATCAGGTTCATTTTATGTTAGATTACAAAAGAGCACAGTGTAGGACTGGTAAACATGCACATCTGTCTCCTTGGAACAGGCGCTGGATTATTTGGCCGTAAAAGAAACACTCTGGAAAGGCGAGCTGTCATAGCCGGTTTGCCCCAAATCCAAACAGCAAATGCCTGTCCCTTCTTCTCCCTCAAAATTTTACACATGTGTGCTGGCAGGCAGCCCTTTGTGTAGACAGCTGTGTATGTGTGTGTGTGTATGCAGAGTTTGTGTTTATCAGAGGCATAAAAAAAAGGCTTTGACCCAAGGCTCACTGGCTCTTTAAAGGTCCAGGCATTAATTTCCCCCGGCAGACATGTCAGTTTGTTTTTTATGCTGATGAATGAGTTGAAGTCCAACAATATCTGAGGCCTTTGTGCGGTTTCAGACGCCCATAATTAAAGTAGCTCCCTCAGCGGTGCTGTAAATTATTTCTATTGTTTCAAGACAATTCATAAATTCTTAGTTTAGTTTTAATTGTGGATGACTGATTAAGCTAACAAAACGGCAAATCAGGAGTAAGAAAATGTCTTAATTTATTGTTGCAACAAAACCCTCAGTCCAACTGCTTTGGTCTTGCTTTATTTTTGTTCCCAAGCTTTTGTTGTGACTAAGGATTACTCTGTCTGTAAGAGCTGCCAAAAATGTATGGTCTTCTGTTCTGTAATCTAGCTCAGATCAACTTCTCCCAATCAATCAGGTACACTTCAGGTTTTAAGCAGCAGGTTTGTGGGTAACGGCATCTAAAGATTGATTTAGTCTCTGTGGACTTAGACCTTTGCATTATGATTAAACCCCTTTCAAACATGTGTTTTTGTTTTGTTGTCTCTAAATCCTTTAGAATCTTACAGGGAAAGCGTCATGAAAGGCTCAAGAAAGCCGGTGATGATTCCTAAAACTTTCTGATGATGATGATTTTAATGTCAAAACGTATTAGTGTAAACACAGGAATACGGCTATTATGCATTAAAAAAACGATAACATGAAATCAAAGGTCAAAACAGCTGCTAGTACACAAGACAAAGTCCTTTAGTGGGGATTTTCCTTGAGAATCCTTACATTCGATCTAGTCTGTGTCAATAGATTGTTAGAAAGTATCTGCTGATGAGATTACATGTCTGTATGGTGGGCTTTTTTTCAGGGGATGGGACACTTTAAGAAAAGACAGCAACACTGATATCCTCCCATTTCTTTTCAGATGTTCACAAATAGTGACGAGGCGGTCATCAATAAGAAGTTGCCTAAAGAGCTGCTGCTACGGTGAGTGACATTTCAAAACTTCTGCAGTCAGCATATCTGCAGGTTTTGTAAGATGGAGATGGGGGGGTGCTGGAGCGTTACCCACCTCATACTTCACAGCCACAATTTGAATCAGCAGAAGTAAATCCAGTAGGATCTATGCACCATTTTTTATCCTGTAACCCCTTAAGCACCACATTCACAGGCGCACATGAAAACACGTTGTGCATTTTGCAATCTTGTATGCTCACTTGCCCAACCACCCGTTTTCCCTTTTGTTACCCAAGTTGCTCTGCTCCCCGAATGCTATAAGTATAATTAAAGACAGATGCTGGTGGCTATAAAACATTTAAATGGATTTCAGACAAAAAAAAGCAAAAAACTAAACAACAACGCCTTAGTAAACAGAAAATGAAGAGCATAACTCAATCCTGGGCCATGCCAGACAATCTCGCTGCACTGCGACTGCTTGGCCAGGTGCAGAGCTGTAATTTCTAAAGCTGGCAGATGGTGCTGCGACTCGCTGTTTCCCTGCTTCTTTCCTAATATGCTCTTAGCTGCATTCTAAGATCCTGTCATAGTTTAAATTTGATCTTTTTGGAGTTTTTTTTATGGAAACAAGCCTATATCACAGAAAAAAAATCACAGTTATATTTTCTGCTCACGTTCAGTTATATTAGCCAGTTTACTCGCTGCCTGGTGCTGTGGGTGAAACAGATGCAGAGTTGACCTAAGGTTAACCTAAAGCCAATGACAAGTTCTTGGCAGACACATGTAAGTGGCTGAGGAGTCATCTTGGATGAAAAGCCTTACATGTGGATTATATATTATTGGCACAACTTCTGCCCTCACCTTTTCTTCTCTCAAAAAGTCAGAAGGATTCAAAATAAAAATAAAAAATCAGTTTTTAAAAAATCTTTCTACCTTTAATGATGTTCTTTAACAGATGTAGAATCGTTGCTGTCGCTAAAATCCTTAGCCCTCAGTGTGCAGTTGAACTTGTGCCACTGTGGATATTTTGCAGACTTCCGTGGTTTTGGAGGGAAACCGAATGGACTTTAATTGTTATCGTATTTGATTGTATTTGTTTTCATCTCTGGAGATCGACCGATAAATAAGGCGGCTGATATCTTGAGCCAATACTGGCCTGTTTTTCTTGTATCGCCTGATTTGTTTCGTGCTATTGCTGATTCATCAGCGCAGTGAGCAGCCACGCCTCGCCTCCAATCGCTATAAATTGGTAATGTTTTGTTTGATTTGTTAATAAATGTTGCTTTTTGTTTTTGTTCAAACTGGGACTTGACATTTTTAATCATCCTTTCACTTTTATCATGTGAATGTGAGAAAGAGAAAGCATTCGGAGCCCCTAGAATCAACCTATCAAACATCTACAGGACCTATCGTTGATCAGTTTAACTGATGTGAAAACAATCAGTATCAGCCTTAAAAAAAAAAAACCTTGAATAAGTTAATCTCTATTGTTTATAGTTAAAGGGATTATGGTAAAAAAAAAAAAAAAGCAATTTCTTTGCAGTTTTTGAAGATGGCTGTATGTGAAAGCAATCATATCCTAGCAAACAAACAAGGTACTAGTTTAAAAAACTTAATTAATTCTAAACAAGCTTCAGGAGATAATTGAGTAGTGTTGATGTCATTTTTAACACTAATCTGCACACAGTGGCTGCATTTAGTTATATATATATATTTTTTAGTGTATTGATAACCTTAGTGGGAAAACTAATTATGTGACGACACTTTTTAGAGTTTTCAAACATTATCTGGAATTTATTTATTTTTTAATGATAACCCTAAGTTCCTAAGTATTTTCCTTCAGTAAATGTCTGTCGTCATGGCTACAAGAGATGGACCAATACATCTGCCGGCCAATATTGGCCAATATTCTTTACTTTATCGGTGTAACTGATTTATTAGTTCGATCATCCACAATGCTTGGAGATCATGTGAAGAATATTCATTTCTGCTCCATCCATCTGCTATTCATCTTGATTTTTTCTTTGAGTTTTCTTTGACTCAGGTTTCAGCTCTTAAAAACCTATAGTGTTGGAGTTGATTCCTTCCTGGTCAAAACGTCCACTGTTAAGCCAGGCCAGCAGTGACCTTAACGACTTCCTATTACAAAGGGGTGGAGCTGTTTTTGGTTAAATTTGCAAGTTTTTTAACAATAACAAGGCTTTTGTTGGGCTACTCTGTAAAGCCTGGAACTCAGCGCTACTCCAGACATTTTTAATTGAAAAAAGCTTCCTGGATTTGAAGCGAAACGTCTTCATACTTTGAAAACAAAGTCCAGTGGTTTTGTTTTCAACTTTTTTGTAATGACTATGACCTGGATAACTGAGAATCTTCAACAGCATTTTCTTTAAATTATTTATTTTTTAACATCCATAAAGTGCTACTTTGTGCTTAAAATTACTCTTATATAAAATATGTTATTTTTCGTTTAGTTTCTGGGAGAAGAAAAAGCAATATTGGCCCTAAAGTATCGGCTTTAAAGTATAAACATTGGATTGGTTAGACTGATGTCAAAATAATCGGTATTAACCTTTAAAAAACTGTATTGATCGATCTCTAGGAACCACACATATTTGTTAATCAGTTATTTGTAGACAAGCATCCTGGTTCCAACTGCGTCCTGTTGGACTTTTTTTCACACAGGAGGTCTTGTTGCTTAATTAAAAGGGGCGACAGTGGCGTCGGATGTAGGAGTTTGCCCTGAAATCGAAGGATTGTAGGTTCAAGCCCCGGCTCCAACTTTCAGTGTCCTTGTGTCCTTGGGCAAGACACTTCACCTGCATTGTCTGCTGATGGTGGTCAGAGGGCCCGGAGGCGCCAGTGTACGGCAGCCCCACTTCTGTCAGTGAGCCCCAGGGCAGCTGTGGCTACAATGTAACTTGCCACCATCAGTGTGTGAAAAAAACGCTATACAAGTTCAGGCCATTTAAAATGTCTTGTTTTTCTAAAATCACACATTTTTCTCATGGCTGTTAATACTACTTGTTAAATGCTCCTGGTATCTGAACTGTTCAGGACATCAAAGCTATGTAGATGTCACACAGCTGTGTACTGTTTACAGAAGTAATGATTAATATTACTATCACTGTTCAATGAAGCTTGATTTAATTAAAATATACATAATAATAATGGTGGATGACAGCGTCTCTGTGTTATTACGAAGTCCTCCAGCAATGGGAGCCAAGAGTATCATGGCGTCATCATTAACAAAGAAGGAAAAGCGGCACAGCTGTTAACAATGGCTATTTGCACAGCAATCAGTGAATACTGCTGCTGCAGCGGAGTTTGTGTTTATTTGTTGTGGGGGATCTGGTAATGATGTTAAAGTCTGATGAATTGCGGCATGACTTTTTTCACTGCAGAGGCTCTAAAGTTTCTGATTTAGACCCACACATAGAAGTAGCACAAATAAGATATTTTGGGTTTAGGAAGCGATCAAAGTTGGGTCGTTCAGACGGCTGTAGAAAAGTCCCATAATAGTGGCACATAGGCCGAGAGATCAGATTTGGGTCACATTTGCCTGCAGCATGAAGGTAGGATGTCCTGGAAGCTTTTAACTACTGAGCCTCTCACTATGTCCTATTTGGAAGATTATAAATATTGGTTTATGCTTTTGATTTGATTATATTCAAAGTAAAAAAACAAAACAAAAAAAAATTGTAAATGCAATTCACAAAAGCAGTCACCTGCCATCGATGGATAAAAGCTGAACCAATAAAGTTAGCTAAACTAGACATTTGTGACTCACAAAAAGAAACAACCTTTAGCTTGGGGGGCCAGAGTCTCTGAACGGTCCCTGTCTGTCTTCCAGAATCTTTTCCTTTCTGGATGTGGTGACACTGTGTCGATGTGCCCAGGTCTCACGGGTGAGTCTGTGTTCACTGTTTGCATATTTGCATGTTTCTGCATGTGCGAGTAGCTGGATAGCATAAGAATTCAACTCTAAACTTCTGTATTTTCTCTTTAAATCCAGTCCTGGAATGTCTTGGCCTTGGATGGCAGCAACTGGCAGCGAATTGACCTCTTTGATTTTCAGAGGGACATTGAGGTGAGCAGATCCTAAATGACTTCCTGATTAACTGGTAATGCGAGCCGCTTAAGAAGTTATGAGGATATTTAAAAAGTCCTAGAAATGACCTTAGATGATTGTTTCGTTGCAGGGCCGGGTGGTGGAAAACATTTCCAAGCGATGTGGAGGCTTTCTTAGAAAACTCAGCTTAAGGGGTTGCCTGGGTGTCGGTGACACTGCCTTAAGGTGAGTTTGTAGTTTTAGTCCTAAATTGTAAGAAGAATCTATACCCAAGTTTTTCAACAGCTGTTATTTCAATGCTTCTCTTTAGGACTTTTGCACAGAACTGCAGGAATATTGAGCTACTTAGTTTGAATGGATGCACCAAGATAACTGACAGGTATGCATTTAGCTCTTTTCGGGTTATTTAATCACAGTTTCTTCCTGAAAATGCTCAATTTGTTTCTCTGTGTCTGCAGCACTTGTAATAGTCTCAGTAAGTTCTGTCCAAAGTTGAAGCACCTAGACCTTGCATCCTGTACCTCAATCACCAACCTGTCTCTTAAAGCTCTCAGGTATGTTGGATCTGTATAGAAACATCACTGGCATACGATGACTGATGGAACTTTTAGGGTATTAAAATAACAAAAGCGATGATTCTTCTGGTTGTATGAGTGTTCACGTTCCTGATACTTGTTAATAACATTTTGATATCAATAGTCTTTTATTTTCTTTATTTTTTTTCCTGTGTGGTAGGCTTAGACTTGGTGTGATGGTGTAAAATTAAATCCCTCTTTTTTGGTGGTTTTTGGTGCCAAACATGCCTTATGAAATGGTAGTTCAAAGGGTTTATTGGTTTATTACACTATATCTCATAACTTCACAAGAGTTTTGGCTGTTTTACCTCGGCAAGATGTTTTTTTTGGAATAAATGGATTTTCAACATAGAAAGGGCTGAAATGACTAAATGGATTAATCACAAATAATTGATTGATGAATCAGTCATCATAGGCTGATCGTTAAGTGGTGTATAGAGACCTATAGGGACTAAACCTGCCAGTTGTTGAAATACCTACTGACTCAGAAGCAATTAAGCCAAAAGTGTATGGATAGTGCATACATTTTGTACTTAAAATAAAAAAAAACTTCTATCTATCAATGTCCTGTAATCAGAACTCCTGCAGTGCAATTTCTGAGCATTGAATGGAGTGTTTTTCAAAATTTATTTTAGGCAATTAAAATACATTTAAAGTCTGCAATAAATGTTTTTTCTTTTTTTTTTTAGTTGGAGCACATTTTTTATTGATGTATGTGATTGACGAAGGGTATCCCTTTTTAAATTAAGTGAAAATATTTGCTTGGTTGTTTACTAAAATAATTTATCTGCAGCAAGTAGAATTTAATTGAAATATGCAAACTGTTTGGGAAAAATTCACTTAAGTGATAATTATGTTGTTAATAAAAAAAACTGTCGAGAGATGAATCATTAGCAAAGTAACGGCTGGAGGACCAATCCTACCACAGTTAAAGATGCATTAAAGAATTAAATAAATGACTCCTTAATTTAACCCACTGCCAAAATACTCGCTAAAAATGAATGAACCATTAAATACAATGAACTGATAAAATAAGCATACAGTTGTACATTTTACATACCCTGTCAGGGTCGCGGTGAGGTCGGTTCCTGTCTCTGGCAGTCTATGAACAGGAGGGGGGGTTCAGCCTGGGCAGGTCACCAGTCTGTCGCAGAGCAACGCTGAGACTCACACCTCAGGGCAATTTAGAGATGCCAAATAACCTAACAGTCATGTTTTTGGAATATGGGAGAAAACCAATGCATGCATGAAAGTCCCCGGGCTGGGAATCAAGCCCAGAACACTGTTGCAAGGTGCAGCGCTAGAACCTGTGCCACGGTGCTGCTCTACATACATAGGTAGCTATGAATAGCTAAAACGACTAAATAAGCCTGATTGAGCTCCTGAACTAAAATGTTTTTGGAGGCAATCACATAATCTGGTGTTTTCTGTAAAGTTCAAAAAATGTCAGAATTCTACACCTGTTGACGGGTGTGTTGGTTTACTGTTCATGAGCAAGGCACTAAATCTGTCTGGGACTTTTTTTTTTTATATTAATGGTTCAAAATCATTTTATTTTACTAATTCATGTAGTAATTTTCTATTTATTACTTTTTTTTTTAGTTTTGTGTTATTTGAATTCCTAATGTGAATTTTATCATTCTTTGATGGTAGCGTACATAAACTTTCAAGCACATATGTGTCAATCTTTTATTTAAACTTTTCTATATATCTCTGTGTTTTTATTTGTATTTTTTATTTAAACAATGAATATTCAGTGATCGTTTTTTTTCTGGATTGCTGTATTTTTCGTCCATATTATTACAAGTAAATGTTTTGCTGTTTTATTTTTCATAACCCTTTTATTTTTATTTTTACCATCCAAATATACCTAAAACATGTTTTCCAGCCTTTATATTATTTCCTTTTCTTTTCCTTGTGCTAAGGGGTGTACCTGTTTCTAATATATCAGATTGTCTATAACTGAAGTAAAATTTGTTTCAGTGATTTTGTAATTTTAGGATATGCTATTAATGTATATGTGTTTTTCTGAACAGCTGTTTGTTTTTTGTTGTTTTTTTTCATCCTGTGCGGCAATCCAGAAAACTTGTAGAATTAATGTTGAGAACTTTACTGTTCTAAAAGGCCGCTGTATTTGCTTCTCCTTTGTCTCTGTTAGTGAGGGTTGTCCTTTGCTAGAGCAGCTGAACATCTCCTGGTGTGATCAGGTCACAAAAGATGGCATCCAAGCTCTGGTGCGCTCCTGTCCTGGACTCAAAGGCCTTTTTCTTAAGGGCTGCACACAGGTACAGCAGAGTGCATTGAGTGAACTGTTGATCATTTTAGTCCATGTGAAAATAAATCAACAGAACCAACCATTTGAGATAAAAGGCTTTATTAAAGTTCGTTGTATTGATTTCTTATGGAACATAAATAAACAAAATGAGTCGCTTTTTAATCAGCATAAGATGTTTTGGGTTAAAAGGTTACTATTTACTGTAAACGTCAAGTTATATAAAACTTGTGTTCAAAGACGGTTTAAGGTGCCACAGATCTGATCCCTATAATATACAATTAGTGCTTAAAATAGGAGATAAGAGTATTAAAGGCAAGTTAATTTTTCACACCTGATCCTTTCCCCCCCATAGCTAGAAGACGAGGCTCTGAAGCATATCGGGGCGCACTGTCCGGAGCTGGTTACCCTCAACCTGCAGACCTGCTCAGTAAGTCCTCTTGCAAAATGAGGAAGTTGTTTTTCCTTTGAAATGCAGGGAAGAAAAAAGCTTAATAATTAGCCAACAGCATATTACAGAAACTGATTCTGTAATATGACCGTTTCTGATTCTTAAATGGCTTACTGAACGAGTATTTTAGCACTTTTATTTTCTTTTCTTTGCGGAAAGGACATTCAGATACGGCAACGAAGTTAGGTGACTGTTCAGTTACCCTGAAGGTACTGCTTTAGTAAAATAAACAAAACGTTTTCTAAGTGTCCTCAAGATGAGGATAACATCATGATCTTAAGGTATTTACTGTTTATTTTCTCTGCTTGCTGTACCGGTCTCTTGTTCAGCAGCTCTGAAACAACAAAGAGATTAAAGTGATAAAGCATCAATGTTCAGTGATGCTTTCTGTCCCTTAAGACTTAAAGGAATAGTACACCCAAAACATGATTAGCCTTCATTTTCTACTCACCCCCATGCTGAACAACACCCTGGAGTACTTTTTTGATATCTCAAATGCATCTGGAGATCTGGGAGGTCTATGGTCAAATAATGGAGGTCTATGGTGCCTGAGACAGAAAGGTCCATAAAAGTCCACAAAAAACG